TTCAGAATAACAGCGTACCTTGATTAAAAAGTTGATTGGAGAGAGGAAAACATATAAAGAAGTGCAGAAAATGATAGGCTGCTTAGCTAAAATAATCACAAATGCTTTAAAATGGCAACCAAAACATGAAAGACGTGGAAGAAAGCGAAAAACTACCATTCAAATGGATAGAAGAATAGCCAAAATGGCAAGGACTCAGCCAACAATCAGCTCCAGGAAGATCAAAGAAGGTGTAAAGTTACCTGTGAGTACTGTTACAATTAGAAGACGCCTATGCGAGAAAAGCCAAGCTATCTGCAAGAAGCCCCCGCAAAGTCCCACTGTTGAAAAAAAGACGTGCTGAAGAGGTTACAATTTGCCAAAGAGCACATTGACTGGCCTAAAGAGAAATGGCGCAACATTTTGTGGACTGATGAAAGTAAGATTGTTCTTTTTGGGTCTAGTGGCTGGAGACAGTTTGTCAGATGACCCCCAAACGCTGAATTCAAGCCACAGTACACTGTGAAGACAGTGAAGCATGGTTGCACAAGCATCATGATATGGGGATGTTTCTCATATACGGTGTTGGGCCTATTTATCGCATACCAGGGATCATGGATCAGTTTGAATACATCAGAATACTTGAAGAGGTCATGCTGCCTTATGCTGAAGAGGAAATGCCCTTGAAATGGGTGTTCCAACAAGACAACGACCCCAAACACACCAGTAAATGTGGAACATCTTGGTTCCAGACCAACAAGATTGACGTTATGGAGCGGCCAGCCCAATCCCCGGATCTTAATCCAATAGAAAACTTGTGGGGTGACATCAAAAAATGCAGTTTCTGAGGCAAAACCAAGAAATAGAGAAGAACTGTGGAATGTAGTCCAATCATCCTGGGCTGGAATACCTGTTCACAGGTGCCAGAAGTTGGTTGACTCCATGCAACACAGATGTACAGCAGTTCTCAGAAACAGTGCTTATACAACTAAATATTAATTAAGTGATTCAAAGGAAAGCAAAATCTTCAAACATTTTTCAGTTTATATAGTGAATGTTTGAGTTTGTAAAGAAGAATACAAACACTGCTATTTTTTTGAACAGTCTAATATTCACTTTTCTTCAATTTTTTTAGAGGAACACAGATTTGATATATTTTTCTTCATGTTTTGATTTGGAATAGAATGTGTAGTGTTCCCAATGCATTTGTGTGTATGGAAATAAAAGCTATTAGAAGGATTTTGAGCTTTGTTCACTTTTTTCAACACACTGCTATTATTTTGAACACAACTGTATAATATCCTTCTAGATTGTAAGCTTTAATGAGCAGGGCCCTCGGTTTCCTCTTGTACCAAACTGTATTGTAACTGTAATGTCTACCTGCATTTTGTAAAGCACTGAGCAAACTGTTGGTGCTATATAAATCCTGTATAATAATAATTTATATATATATATATATGATCAGCTTAACCTGGTAAAGTATTTATACTTTCTCCAAAATCTTGTGATCCGAACACAGTCTGTGAGCTCTCTGCAGATTTCCATGTGGTTAGGCAATATATCTTGGTCCAAGATACACCCCATCTTGTAATTTGTCCATGAAGAAATGTCAGCACTTTGATGAGGACATCCCTAATCTCTCTTCTTCCTGTAGGCATGTGTTGAGATGAACAGGCAGAGCTGCATGCTGATATGGAATTTCTAGTGAAAGAGAGGAAAGGTCTTCTTTAAGTAGAAGACTCAGGCAGCTATTTAAATGATTACATTTATTTTATGTTTCTGGTTTAGGAGATCAGCTAATCTACAGATTGCCCAGCCAAAATTGTTAACATGTCCTAGTTAGAGATTTAATGAGCTCAGCCATGAGAAGTCTTTGATTAGCCCACAGTTCTTCCATCTACCCAATCTATTACTGCAAAGGTTATCAAGATTTTTTTGTTGTTGCCATTTCAAGTAGCAGAGACTGTGCTTATGAAGTAACTTCCTCTAAGGCAGTTGTGTAGCTGTGTTCTCATACATCTGAAAGCACTGTGTGTATTAAGCATTCTGGCACAACATAGGCCATGTAGCTTTTATTGGCTTTGATCTTTCATCGTGTTCACCTGAGAGCGAGCACCCATGTTTATGCTGAAAGTGTATGTTTTTTTTTTATTGAAGAATTTCATATAATGTAAAAGAATTCTTTTAAAAACATAGCTAATATTATTTTCAGTATATACGTATTCTGCTACTTTTACACTGATCCATGGCAAAAACGCATATACTTTTTGCCACGTTTTTCGAACGTGCGCGAAGCATTTTTTACAGGACATGTGACTCAAAAACCGAACCAAAACGCAATGCGGGTGCATTTTTTAATGTGTTTTTGCCAAGTTTTCTATTGATTTTTAAATGGGGAGGTGCTTTGTTGATGCTTTTTTTTATCGCAAAAAAATGCAGCAAGTAGGATTTTAACAATCGCACCAAACCCACAATGGATCAGCGTGAAGAGTTACATAGGAATACATAGTCACATGTTTTTCTTCTGCTTTTTTTACAACAACGGAAGAAAAACAAATCGGTGTGAAAGCAACCTTAGTTAAATTTTCAGAATATCTTGCACAATATAAACATACTGCATAGCCACTAGAATCAAGAACCCTGGGCTTAAAAGCAAAGAGAAAGAAAACAAGGACAAGATGAGTTTTAGAATACAGTTAGCTGCCTTTCTTTTTTATAGAAAAAATTATCGATAAACAGCCCTGCAAAACTGACTGTTAATGATGCATGACTCAACTTGAAAATCAGTTGAATTCTACGGGTTTTTTTTTAACTCTCCTAAATATATCGTATTTTTCGCTCCATGACCATAAGACGCTCCTGACAATAAGACGCGCCTAGGTTTTAGAGGTGAAAAACAAGAAAAAAATATTCTGAACCAATGGACTTTAGACACAGTACAGAAAATTACCAGAGACTGCAGACACAGTACCGGAGATGACCAGAGAGTGCGGACATAGTACAGGAGATGACCAGAGACTGCAGACATACTACAGGAGATGACCAGAGACTGTGGACATAGTACAGGAGATGACCAGAGACTGCAGACACAGCACAGGACATGACCAGAGACTGCGGACATAGTACAGGAGATGACCAGAGACTGTGGACATAGTACAGGGGATGACCAGAGACTGCGGACACAGTACAGGAGATGACCAGAGACTGCGGACACAGTACAGGAGATGACCACAGACTGCGGACACAGTACAGGAGATGACCACAGACTGCGGACATAGTACAGGAGATGACCAGAGACTGCGGACACAGTACAGGAGATGACCAGAGACTGCGGACATAGTACAGGAGATGACCAGAGACTGCATACATACTACAGGAGATGACCAGAGACTGCGGACACAGTACAGGGGATGACCAGAGACTGCGGACATACTACAGGAGATGACCAGAGACTGCGGACACAGTACAGATGACCAGAGTCTGCGGACACAGTACAGAAGATGACCAGAGACTGCAGACACAGTACAGGAGATGACCAGAGACTGCGGACACAGTACAGGGGATGACCAGAGACTGCGGACACAGTACAGGAGATGACCAGAGACTGCGGACACAGTACAGGAGATGACCAGAGACTGCGGACACAGTACAGGAGATGACCAGAGACTGCAGAGACTGCGGACACAGCACAGGAGATGACCAGAGACTGCAGACACAGTACAGGAGATGACCAGAGACTGTGGACACAGTACAGGAGATGACCAGAGACTGCGGACATAGTACAGGAGATGACCAGAGACTGCGGACACAGTACAGAATGACCAGAGACTGCAGAGACTACGGACACATTACAGGAGATGACCAGAGACTGCGGACAGAGTACAGATGACCAGAGACTGCGGATACAGTACAGAAGATGACCAGAGACTGCGGACACAGTACAGATGACCAGAGACTGCAGGACACAGTACAGGAGATGACCAGAGACTGCGGACACAGTACAGGAGATGACCAGAGACTGCGGACACAGTACAGGAGATGACCAGAGACTGCAGAGACTGCGGACACAGCACAGGAGATGACCAGAGACTGCAGACACAGTACAGGAGATGACCAGAGACTGTGGACACAGTACAGGAGATGACCAGAGACTGCGGACATAGTACAGGAGATGACCAGAGACTGCATACATACTACAGGAGATGACCAGAGACTGCGGACACAGTACAGGGGATGACCAGAGACTGCGGACATACTACAGGAGATGACCAGAGACTGCGGACACAGTACAGATGACCAGAGTCTGCGGACACAGTACAGAAGATGACCAGAGACTGCAGACACAGTACAGGAGATGACCAGAGACTGCGGACACAGTACAGGGGATGACCAGAGACTGCGGACACAGTACAGGAGATGACCAGAGACTGCGGACACAGTACAGGAGATGACCAGAGACTGCGGACACAGTACAGGAGATGACCAGAGACTGCAGAGACTGCGGACACAGCACAGGAGATGACCAGAGACTGCAGACACAGTACAGGAGATGACCAGAGACTGTGGACACAGTACAGGAGATGACCAGAGACTGCGGACATAGTACAGGAGATGACCAGAGACTGCGGACACAGTACAGAAGATGACCAGAGACTGCAGAGACTACGGACACATTACAGGAGATGACCAGAGACTGCGGACAGAGTACAGATGACCAGAGACTGCGGATACAGTACAGAAGATGACCAGAGACTGCGGACACAGTACAGATGACCAGAGACTGCAGGACACAGTACAGGAGATGACCAGAGACTGCGGACACAGTACAGGAGATGACCAGAGACTGCGGACACAGTACAGGAGATGACCAGAGACTGCAGAGACTGCGGACACAGCACAGGAGATGACCAGAGACTGCAGACACAGTACAGGAGATGACCAGAGACTGTGGACACAGTACAGGAGATGACCAGAGACTGCGGACATAGTACAGGAGATGACCAGAGACTGCGGACACAGTACAGAAGATGACCAGAGACTGCAGAGACTACGGACACATTACAGGAGATGACCAGAGACTGCGGACAGAGTACAGATGACCAGAGACTGCGGATACAGTACAGAAGATGACCAGAGACTGCGGACACAGTACAGATGACCAGAGACTGCAGGACACAGTACAGGAGATGACCAGAGACTGCGGACACAGTACAGGGGATGACCAGAGACTGCGGACACAGTACAGGAGATGACCAGAGACTGCGGACACAGTACAGGGGATGACAGAGACTGCGGACACAGTACAGGAGATGACCAGAGACTGCGGACACAGTACAGGGGATGACCAGAGACTGCGGACACAGTACAGGGGATGACCAGAGACTGCGGACACAGTACAGGGGATGACCAGAGACTGCGGACACAGTACAGGAGATGACCAGAGACTGCGGACACAGTACAGGAGATGACCAGAGACTGCGGACACAGTACAGGAGATGACCAGAGACTGCGGACACAGTACAAGAGATGACCAAGAGATTGCAGACAGTACAGGGGATGATCAGAGACTGTGGACCTTTGGGGAGGTCAAATTTCTATACTTGGGAATATTTGTCTGTCACCCCACTTCCACAAACATATAGGGGTTTAGCAATGTCTCAAAGAGAATTAGAGATAGCCCAGTCATATAGAAAAAGGTCATCTCTGTAATATACTCAGCATCCACCACCAGACCTCTGATTCCCCCTTCCCTGTGATAGCAGGTGGGGGAATCTTCTCCCCACATCCGCTGTCACATTTTGAAAATGTCATTCATTCTTAGAGTTTTGTGAATGAATGACCTACAACCAGGGGGCCCCTTGGCAATAGGGGTTCATGGGGCCCCTGTGTCCTTACCCACACTAAAACCACACCCAAAAAATCCTATGAAAGCTACCAGGGGCATCTTTTGGGCCCCCTACTGACCCCAGGCCCTCGGGCAGTGCCCGAGTTCTCGAATGTTCAGTCTGCCCCTGCCTACAACTACCATCAGCCATGGCAGCTGAAAGCTTGGAGTTCTCAATGAACTATGAGGATGCTTGTGAGTGCTCTCGTAGTTCCTTGACCTTCCTGGACTTCAGTAACTGCCTGCCTGTTTCGGATGTATGGGCAGATAGCTCTACTGACAGTCTACTGGAGCATGGAACTGCACCCACGATTGCTGCGGATGCAGTACTTTACAGGCCCTATAAAAAATTATAAATGCATATTTTTTTACCTGCAAAAAAAATGAAATTCGCATTTATTATTTTTTTAAAGTGGAATTTGGCTTTTAATTCTTTCTGAGTCAGCTCCCTGTTTCCACAATAGAGATGTTGATGACAATTCACTATCCAGTGAGGAGGCTGGAGTCATGGCTTTCAGTGGTGACATGGGAAGCTGAACTGCTGATCAAGACAGATGAAATGCAGCTAGCTAGAGTACTGAAATACAAGTTATATAGCAGGTAAAATTTTATGTATTTCAACTATGGCATTACCTGTTTGCCTGGTGTTTCACTTTTGTGAACTGTCAATAATTTTAATTTAAAAAAAATAAAATATGCTGCTTAAAGTGAACCTGAAGTGAAAAACAAAATTATTTACATATTCTCAACAAGCAGTAAAAGCACATTAAAGCAAGCCCTCATTCACCTCTTTAGCTATAATCATTATGGAAAAAGTTATCTTCAAAAGTTCACATCAAAAGCAGTAACCTCTTAGCCCTTTTCCTAATACTTTCTACTGAACCAGAAATTCGATGGGCTGGCATCCCTCTAATGTGTTTCTAAGCATTTAGAAACTAATTAAAACCCAACTTAGAGTCTCTGCTGTGATTTTTGAGGACCTCGGAGAATGAATTACTTTAAAGTACAAAACAAGTAGAGAGATCAGTGATTGTTTCTTTTACTGCTCATTAAGAATATATAAATTAATACCTATAGGCTGGGCACTGGTGAACTTTAAAAGCAGAAACTTGGAGATTCTTGATACTGCCTTTGTTAGCAAGCAAAACCGATTCTGTGTGCCTCTCTGACCATGATTCCTTCTTGTTAAAGGGCTACACACGTTTCACATTTGAAGACTGATTTTAAACCATTCTCTTTGTTTCCCAGGTCATAGGGTGCTATGTGGTTATTTTTTTTCATAGCGTGCTTTTATTCACATAAAATCAAAAGGAACATAATCACACAAGAGATGAAATACTGGTTGTTATGTATTGACCAGCTCAATCTTTTTTATTGTCTGTGTGTATAAATATAATAGTGAACAAATGTTTATTGAAAATTATTGTAATTTGAGTTGTAAACAGAAAAGTAATTTTGTTCCGAATTAACCAGTTCCACTTACGGCCCATCCTGAAATTCTTCTCCTCCATGGAAAAAAATGCATTTTGCTGCTAGTAAATTACTTATATTACTTAAATTACTATATATTTTTGAAGCAGAGGCCCTAGAAAATAAAATGGTGGGTGTTATATATTTTTATGGTACATTATTTGTTTCGAAACAGTATACTGTAATGAATTTTAAATGCAAAAACACAACATGATACCCAATTGTTTGGTAAAATATAAAAGACAATGTTACATGTCACGCTTTATAATTGCGTACGCCCGTGGAATGGTGCCAAACTTCGGTACCTTAAAATCTCCCTAGGCGAATCTTTTTTTTTTAACCATAGTAAATTTTATTAAATAAAGCAATCATATAACAGGAGAACATCAGTGGTATACTGTGAGTTTACAAAAGCACAAAGAGTGATGGTGGGATATCCCTCCCCGACCCCGATGAGCTGAAGACTAAACATGGAAACCCTCTTTCTATACTAATCTCTAAAAGTTAAGGTGTGTGAAACAAATCAAAACATAGCTAATAAACTGCTCAAACCATCATAGAAAATCTTTCATTTACTATCTGATGTTGGAAACTTGCACAGTGAGAGATTAGAGGAGAAAATGCAATCAGAAGTTGGAAAAATTGGTTGAGATTAGCCTAAATACAACACAGTTTTATTTCTTTTTGGCCGATAGATGCAACTGAGAATTTTACACGGCAAATATAAAACCCCTAGGCGATTCTTTAAAAGCCGTGACAGGTTTAAAGTTACACAGGAGGTCTGGCACTAGAATTATTGCTCTCACTCTGGCATTCATGGCAATACCTCATGTGTGGTGCAATCGCTGTTTACATATTTGTGTGGAACTGTCATGTGCTTCCATTATATGCGAGAGCACGGGGGGACGGGGGTGCTTGACTTTTTTTTTATTTTATTACTTGTTTTAAATGGTATGTGCAATCTTGATTGGCCAAGAACTGTAAGTTAATTCATTAAAGTTAGTTAATTCAGTAAATAAAATCCATCTCCATTCCCTCTGCCAGGACACAGGTAAGAACCTGGAAGATCTCACTTTTGGTTGTGCCAGGTTACTACATAAAGCTTGAGCCAGCTAGTGTGATGCCTTATAAAAAGGATCATCACAAACTGATTTGGGACCTCTACGGTTGACAGCATTGTTCATCAGCACAGTTCTGTGTTGTGGTTTGCTGACGCAATGAAGAAAAAAAAAAATATGCATTAACAGTTGCAAGATTTCGACAATATGCAGGCTTGAACATATTGTATAGTGGCTTTTGAAATATGTATGTCTAGCATGGCCCTATAGAATAAACAAAAAACCTACTGTGAATAGACATGGGGCTAGTTCAGGAGGTTGAGGAGGTGACACACTTCAAGGGCCTTGATTAAAATATATCTAGAACTTTTTTTTTTTCATTAGAGGAGAGGCACTAGAGGGGCAATGGTTAAACCCTTATCATTTTTATTTTGCAATATGTGTCTATCTTTACATCCTGTTTTGTCGACAAATTTAGGAATTGAAAGGCAATCACTTTAAAGTAAGGAAAATCCCTGTTAAGCAGTTGTCCTCTTTGTAAGATTTCCTGTCTAATCTTGTTTTGGTGACAAGGGAAAGTGTCACAAGTTAGCCTGCAGTTTCTTGTTTGTGTATTCTTATGTCCTTGCTGCAGTGCTTTTCCTGTTCCCATCTCCTCTGTGGTGCCCGTGGCTGCAGACCAACAACAATCATTCAATTCCATCTGGGCAGAGGTTTCCAAGAGCTTTCAAGTACAAAATAGCTGCAGATTGCCATCGCCGCATGAGTCCCAAATTTCTCCCTGGTGACAAGGTTTGGCTCTCTACCAAGAATATCCATCTATGAGTACCCTCTATGAAATTTGCTCCTCACTTCATTGGTCCCTTTACCATCCTCCGCCATGTCAACCCTGTTGCTTTTAAACTTTGCCTCCCTTCACATATGAGAATCCCTAATGTTTTCCATGTTTCTCTTCTGAGACCGTACATCATCAACAGTTTTTCCCATCCTCATTATTACCCTTCCCCAATAGTGAGTACTTCGGATCAGTATGAAGTCAAGCAAATCTTGGATTCCAAATTCATGAGAGGGAAGCTTTTGTATCTAATTGACTGGAAGGGATATGGTCCTGAAGAGAGGCGTTGGATTCTTTCTACTGATGTTTCTGCACCCCGTCTGGTGGAATTTTTTCATCAGAAGTTTCCCCTTAAGCCTGGCCCTAAAAAAGTGGGGTGACCTTGTAAGAGGGGGGGTACTGTCAAGCACCTGTGGTAGTGAGCCCTTGTAGATAGTCAACCTGGGGTTCCTCAGGGTGCGGAGTCTAATCCCCAGCCTGCTTTTTCACCAGAGCCCCTGATGGTGGGGATGGACTTGCAGCAAGCTGGGACCAGGTCACGGCCCCCAAGTACGCCCAGCTGGGGATGTGGAGAATGTTCATGGGAGCAGGGTACAATGGAAGGAGACAAACAGAAATCCGATAACTAGCCAAGCTCAGGACAGGCAGAAAGCAAGCACAGTCAATGAACAACTACACGAGTACACAAGTAGTAAAATGCAGGATACAGAAGATGGCAACACACAGGAACTCCGACAACTAAGAAGTTGCTCAGACAAATTGGGCTTGACTGAGCCTTATATAGGCAAGCAAACTAGGAGGCAGGCCAGGAAGTGATGGAAGAGAAGGAAATAAAACCCAGAGAATAGCAGACGATGCCCATAGGTGAGCACAGACAAACCACACATGTGAAAGGGATCAGGAACAGCACTGCAGCAAGGAGGTAAGAATACACAAGTTAGAAACTGCAGGCTAACATGTTACAGAAAGTTTTGGATTTACTCTATCATTCTCTATAACAGTGATCACCAGGAAAAATAGAGTGAATTTACCTAGTAGAGCACAGATGACAATAAAAACCTTTAATCTCTTATGCTGGGTACACACTAGAAGTTTTTTTTTCGTTTAACCCAGTGGGCTGAATGGAAAAAAAACCCAGAGATCACCAGAATAACACAAGCGATGTTAGTGCTGCAATTTCCCGCGCTGTGCTTTTGTGTTCTGGCAGGGGGACCCCCCTTCCGCCAGAAACCATTGTCAAGCATTTGCAGCCATTGACTGGTCAGATGCTGCTTTTCCAGCACGTACATTTGACAGAAACCAGTCATGAGACAGCTTCTGTAAAGCAGACAGCTGTAGTCAAGGGCCAAAAGTTGGCTGGTTCCTGCCAAACTGCCGAACCGACCAACTTTGGGTGATTTTCGGTCTGCCGGAAAAAAAATGGGCCTGGTCAAA